AGCTACAGTACCTCCTGTGTCAGGGCTTTTCCTATACCAACTGCAATCCTCTCGGCTTGCTCCTGATACATCCCGAGGGAGTCTTTAAACCCCTCCGGAGTCTTTGAGGCCACATTCAGGAGAAGCTCGAGCAACGAGACACCTGTCCCCACCACAGTGCTAATCCTATACACGGGTTTCTGGAGCTTCCTAACTCAAGAACACACTGATTGGCAACTTGGCAGATTTTATTTTCCATGAGTTCAGCCAACCAGCTTTAAGGATCCACAGCCTCCAGCTGCAGCTGAGCAACGTGCTGTGAGATGTAAGGTACTGTCTCCTGTAAGGTCCAGCTCTCCACAAGCTGTTTCTTTCCAAGCCCATCTCTCATACAAAGTCCACACCGAGCAACAGCAACACCCTTGCCAGCGTGAACTTCCCTGCTGGTCCTCGCAGTTCCAAGTTCACGGTGGGACAGCACTGGGGCACGACTTTGCCACTGTGTTTTTCCCACCTGCTCTCACGTTTGCAGCGTTTCTGTGCCATGGACCCTTCAGGACGTGCTGTAAAGCAGGGACCTTTTAAAACAAAGATGCCCTTGCCAACTGCAGCAGAGAGCAAGCCTGCTCACGGATTCTGGCTGTGCACTGGGAGCCAGGGCCAGAATTTAGATTGGACTGGCTCCATTTTCGTTAGTGAATTTGTCTTTTTTTCTTGTTTTGCTTTATTTTTTAAGCACTGAACACTGGGACCAGCAACTCTCCAAACAATCCGGTGATATCACCTTCTAGTGAGTCATGGGGAGGGCAGGGTGGAGAAGTGCAGGCAAGGAAAGATCATGAGATTGTGCTAGCTCAAACAGCCCAAAAAAAAATGGGATATGTATTTGGATATGTGGAGGAGAGATTGCATTCACTAGTCACCCATTACACAACGTCACAGCATTGGGGAGCATGCCCATGGCTCCAGACATTTATACCTGGCTGCTTCTTTCCCAGATATGAGCAGGGTGACCAGGAATAACTAGGGGAAAAAAGTATGAACACATCCTTCATTGCCTCAACTTTTGAGCCACCAAAAAAAAGAAAGTTTAATCATCAGATCATGTTAAACCTGTGACTTCAGTCACTTTGCACGGTGCAAACAGGCTTTCCCTGAGCTCACCTGCAGCTTTCCTAATTTCTTAATGGTCCTGATGATAATTATTCAGGGTTACAACAGGATCTTCAACCCTTGCTCAGACCCAGCTCTATCACTAGGATTCAGATTCTGCCAAGTTGTGAAACGATCCTTATAAAATGATGAAAGGGATAAAGTCCCCAAATGGACTTAATAACACTCAGCATTGTTATTTGTAGTTTTTATTTATGAGAAGAAGACAAAGTCCTCAGCAGGATCTCCACAAGCCAACATGGAGCCTTCCCCACAAGGCAGTGGAAAATAGAGAGGATGAGGCTCTGCATCCCACCCTACCTGGGAGCATCCTGCACTGAAGCACAACCAGGATCCTCCATCCACCAGGAGAGGGAGAATCACTGGGCAGGCTGCCAGGGTGGAGAAAGGGCACCTCAGAGGTCTGTCCCTACTCCCCAGCTTGTCTCTGTATTGGATTTGGTTAGGTTGGATGGAGGCTTCCCTGCTGAGAGCACTACCCTCCAAAACAGCAGTGCTGTTCAGGAACAAGCCAGGTCTCCATTGTCCTCTCCCTGTGAGGGCTCTGGGATCTCAGGTGCTCCAGCATGGCAGGAGGTTGCTGGATCCCAGCACAAATGCTGTGGGGAGTGTCAGTGCCCACTAAACCAACAGCACTCAGAGGCTGGATGTCCCCAAGGTGGGTGTCACAGCCTCCTCCTTTGGAAAGGACACCAGGCTTTGCCAGGAAGTGTGGAGCTGGATGCCCAGGAGAGGTGCCCAGAGGGCTGATTTTGAGTGAGTAGGAGGAGCTCCTCTTTGAAACAAGACCAGGTTTCACTCTTTTGCTGTGCCACAGGTCCTACAGTAATTGTTCTTCTTGGTCTTTTTGATATTGTCCTATTCTGGCTTTGATGCTTTCGGGGCCAGATCATCAGAAAGTGCTCTTACACTGAGATATCAGGTTAAAGTGCTGGTGCATCACTCTGTGTTGCTGTTCCTGATCTTTTACTCTTGTTTTCTATTTCTGGGCCTTGGACACATCTTTCTGTGATTCCTGAGCTCTTCAAGTGTCCACCACTCAATACTTCCTTCCACACATTCTAACATTTATGCTCCTATACAGTAATTCTTACAAACCTCAGCCCAAAAACACTCCCTCCCTCAAAGTGTCGTCGCATATTCACGTACATGAAAGCAAGAGCCAGCTTCCTCCATTCTTTACTCACTCCCTAAATAAGACCTCCCAGCCCCTCCTTGGGTGCAGCCTCCCAGGGCACATCAGAAGAGCCCGTACAAATTTACCAGCCCAGGAGCTGTTCTGAGGACTCCCTGCCTGGTTCTGTCCCTCCCAGAGATGGGGAAACTGTGGCTGCACTCAGGGCACTGTCCCTTGCAGGGGGCACGCTGATTTGCATGGCAATGAGGATGGTAATGAGCCCCTTGTCTTCAGATGTACACGGGGTTCTGGCGGGTGAAAACCAGGCCAGAGTTGAAATTCAGACGATTCGCGGCTTCTCTTTCCATTCAATTTGTGTTTTGTATCTGGATGCAAAAGACAAAGCAGGTAGTACAGAGGCTGAACTGTGCAATGGACCGCTAAACTCTGGGTGTAAGTTATTATTTGAACAACCATCAGGCCGTTTAAGCAAGCACCAATCTCTTAAGTAGCCTGGCTCAAGCAGTAATTACTAGCTGAATTTCAAAAGAGACCCTTCTTTTATTTGCTTTGTTACCATAGCTTTTTGTTTTCTTTTCCTCACTCTTGAAGCTAAAAAAAAAGCTCCTCTGAGAACCCAGTGTGCTTCGAACAGGGTTCACAACAGCACTGTGAAGGAGTTCATGGTAATTAGCCCCTTTCTGCAGTGGGGAAACTGAGGCATGAAACGTCACCATGACAAGGGAATGAGCAGGGTTACATGTTTAGTGAAGTCCTTCACCTGCCTTGCTCCCCAGCACATGGAGTTACGGCAGGATCAAGCTGGGACAATGCGATGTTGAAGGGCTGAGAGCCAGGGATTGCCTTGCAGAGAGCTCAGGGCTCTGGGTAAAGGCTGGTCCCCAGGTGGAATCAAAACATCACAGAATTATAGGACTGTTTGGGTTGGAAGGGATTTAAAGATCACCTGGTACCACCCCCCTGCCATGGGCAGGGACACCTTTCACCATCCCAGGCAGCTCCAAGCCCCATCCAACCTGGCTGGGGTTTGGAATGAGATGATCTTCAAGGTCCCCTCCAACCCAAACCATTCTGTGGTTCTGTGATTATTGCTCCCTTCAAAGCCACTGACTACACCACCAGCAGCTGCTCATTAAGCTGCAAATGCCATTGATTTCCATGAAGTCCGTGGCATTCCCAGCACAGAGATGTCATTCCTGCTTCCTGCCCTTGTCCAGTGCCTCCTCCAGCACATATTGGCGGCCAGCATGGACTCCAGCCTGGCTGGGGTTGGCCTTCAGCAGATGTTTAAGCTTCATGGCCACCTCTGTGCTTTCCCTGCCCAACCATCATAAAATGCTGGGATCTGTCTGTCTCCTCTCATGTCCCCATGATGGAACAGCCCACATACCTAATGTTGAGTTCTGGCTGTAATTTCTCCACTTCTTAGGGATGGGTGGAAGGAAGTTTTACTGGAACCAGCACTCTGAGTTTCCTGGATGATGGTTTTCCTCCAGAAAACAGCCTGGGGAGCTTTTATGCAGTGTCAGTCACGAATTTCTGGCTCCTGGCACCTGTTTTACTGTTTTGACACCAGGCTTCTTAGCTCAGGGAAAATAATAATGATATCCAGAGTTAATGTTATTTACTAAAATACAAATTAACGCTCAGTCACATGGCAAGATTTGTCATCCAGAGCTAAAATTAAAAGAAATTAAGGCTGACTCAGAAAGTTATTTCAGATCTGAGTGGGGAATACTGAGTGTTGAGGCCATGTGGGAGCAACACTGACATCTTCTGGCCCCATGAAAAATCTCCAGCTTTTCCGCCAAGAAAATTGCTGGGAAACTCCACAAAAACCTAAATACGGGTTGGGTGGGCAAAAGGGTTTTCAAGTGGGAGGGACAGTGCTTTGTGGCAGTGGATATTATCTGAGCCCACGCTAACAGCCCACCTTAGCATGACTGAGAATTTGAAGGGAGGGTGCGTGACACTGATGATCCAAAATGAACAAGTGGAGGAGTTGAAGGGGTGTTGCTCTACTCTCAGTGCAGGTGGCAGGCTGTGTCCAAACTTTCAGGCTGCAGTGGAAGGGCAATATGTAGGAAGAGGCAGGCACTAAGAACTGATCCATGCAAAGCAAACAACTTTTCTTGCAGTGGGGGCTAAGAGAGTCCTGCCAAAAATACAGTATTACCCATCACACTCTCAGGCACAGGGTGTGACTCTTGGGGATGGTCCTGTGCAAGGCTAAGAGCTGGACTCGATAATCTTTGTGGGTCTCTTCCAACTCAGCATAATCTGGGATTCTGGGATCATTATCACTGCAGGGTCGATGCCTTCCAATCCTGCAGAGGCCAGATCTTCCCTCTGGTGACAATGGCATTCCAAGTCAAGGACCTAACAGTGGAATCATAGAATCACAGAGCAGCTGGGGTTGGAAGAAACCTTAAAGGTCATCCAGTTCCAATTCCCTGCCATGGGCAGGGACACTTTCCGCTAGCCCAGTTTGCTCCAAGCCCCATCCAACCTATCCTTGAACACTTCCCAGGGATGAGGCAGCCACAGCTTCTCTGAGAAACACGTTCCAGTGTCTCTCCACCCATCACACCTCCAGTCTCTTCCACACGCCTCCACCTCTCCCAGGTTGGATTCACCACCACCCTCGCTCCCCCATGCTCCCGCCCCCCTTCCCCTTCCTCTAACCGTATTTCTTTTAATCTCTCCCAAGGCTCTTTCTTCCCGTCTCTGAAGCCCTCCGAAATTGTCTTCAAGATCATCTTCTGGCTGGGGTACTTCAACAGCTGTGTGAACCCCATCATCTACCCCTGCTCCAGCAAGGAGTTCAAGCGCGCGTTCATCCGGCTGCTCAAGTGCCAGTGCCACCGCAGGAGACGGCCCATCTGGCGCGTCTACGACCACCACTGGAGAGGGGCCTCTGTCAACAGCTCGGTGCAGGACTCTGAGACAGACCTGAGGCCCAGGATTAACACCCTGAACAGCTCCTTCATATTTAACTCCTCCTTCCAGGAGAGAGCCAGCAAGAGGCGAACGCTCAGCTTCAAGGGCTGGAAGATGCTCACTCCTTTCCAGAAGCCGGCGTCCACCCAGCTGAAGGAGAAGATGAACAGCCTTTCTAACAAAATCCGGGGTGGCTCCAGCAAAGGGGGGGTGACAGCCACCTACAAAACAGAGGTGGAGTCTGTCTCTATTGGGATCCCTCACGATTTCACGGAAACCATCGACTATCAAACCCATGACTTAACAGACTGCTGTGGGCTGAGAGAAACAGATATTTGAACCCTCTGGGACAGCTGTCGATGGTTTCTTTAGAGGTATCCAGCAGAAATGTGGAGGGATACCACCTGTGGGTCTGTCAGGCAGACTGGAAGCAGCAATCAGGTATAAAACGCAGTTGCCCAAAGGTTATCCAAAAATCCCCCATGTGGAGCTCAGCCCCTTCTGTGGGATTATGGGTTCCTCAAATAAGAGCCAGTGGCATGTCCCATTTTAACGAGGGGAAGATGTGGAGTGGATATGGCCTTAGGAGAAGAGCTGTCTCCCTCCAGGGGATGGTTGTCTTTGACTTTGGAAGAAGCTGTGCAATTAAGGGAAACCAGGATGTCTCCTTTGCCTTAAAAACATCGTTGTGAAATCTAATGGAAAGATGAAACCCCAAAAGATGCCAACCCTGCCTTAGCCCACGTGGTCACGTTTCCACCCAGAGGCAGCATCCAGGAGGGACACTGCCGAGCAGCAGCTGGCAGCAGATCCTTTGGATGGTGGGTTGGGAGCTTGTAGGTCTGCAGGGCTGGACAGGACCTCCAGCCGAGCCCTTGGCTCTGGAGGATGAGCAGACGGGGTATTTCCAAGCAGAGCGGGGGGATCCTGGCTCTCAGTCATCACCTCTGCAGTGACCACAGCTTTGCCCCTTCCACATAACCTGGTTTTAGGCCAGAGGAGGAGCCCAGATGCGTACACAGGGTGTGCAGGTCTCTCTCCTCTAATTCCAGCCTGTGAAGCATTTCCCATTTCACCTTCCAGTGAAACACTTGCAATCCCCCTTGCTTTAGTGCTCATCCGTCTGTGATACAGAGTGAAACTGGCTCCTTTTGGTGTCAGTCATCCCCAACCTCGTCTGTCCCCCTCTTGCTCTAGTTGTTTCTCTCAAAAAACACAGGATAAAAATGCACCCCGGGAGCTTCACTCAGGACGAGAGGAAATGGCCTCAGGTTGCGCCAGGGGAGGTCTAGGTTGGATATTGGGAAAAATGCCTTCACTGAGAGGGTGGTCAGGCATTGGAACAGGGGAGTGCTGGAAGTTGGTTTTTTTTTTTTTTCCAGTAAGGGTTGGGGTTTTTTTCCCTGCTCACAGCCCTGGAGTGTGAGCACCCCTCAGGAGGGCACCGTGGTCTCCTCTGGGACACTCAGGGAGTTGGGGCCATGACAGGCCCACCTCGACCAGGCAACTCAGAAGGTGGTCACCCATACTCTACTTGGCCCTGTGTTGCAAGCACTGGTTTCAAAATCCAGGCTGGTTTTGTCAAGCTTCAGATAATGATCATGAGGTTAAGCCGTGAGCAGGAGACACGCAGGTGATGGAGGTGAATTCTGGGTCTGAGGTGCAGCACCTCAGGCCAGGTGACTAAAAGAACAGGAACATGAAGTCAAAAGGTGGAAACGTGGCACTGAATGTGTCCTGGGTGGGAGCTCATCCACATCAGCACTGTCCCCCAAACCTATGAGGAGTCTTTCATGAAAGTGCCTACAGCACATGCAGCTAATCAAGGGTGGCTGCCAAAGGAAGATGAAAGGCTCCTCGGCACATTAGAGGGAATGTCACCTTTCTTTCTGCTGTTCACTCGCTTTGAAGTTAAACAAAACAGAGAGAAAGTTGGACTTTTAATTTTTTTAGTCTTTTGAGCAGTGCATATCAAGACAAGATATCTGGGGTTGGCCCCATCTCAACACCCTTTAACACCCTTTACTTGATGCAGGACTCCAAACTGGACCAATTGTTGCACAAATACCAGGAGATTTTGTCCAAATATTTTCCTCCCAGCAGCAAATCCCACCAAGGCACACGGGCAGCACTGCATTTACACTGAACCCAGACTCATCACGTTCTCCAGCATCTGCAAAACCACCCAGAGATTCAACCCCAAAAAAGCAGGGACCCAACACCCCATGGGAATTTCTCTAGGGAAAGACATCTCTTTTTTCCCCCTATATCTTTGGCTTTTCAGGGAAGTGAGACCCTGCAGTGATGGTGGGGTGACACAGAAAGTCATTTTGCAGTGTAAAGACTGCAGGTGCCACTGGTTTCCTGGGAGCTTTTGGGATCCTGATGGGAGGCACTGGAGATGTAGCAGAGAAGGGACCAGGGAAGGGGCAGTTCATCCATGACCAGAGAGATACAAAGACACACTTTACTGTAATTATATACATGGGTCATCTCCAAAATACGAGGCATTCTCCTACAAATGGCCCAACATCCTCCTATAAATGAAGATTCAGCAAATGCTGGCAAGCAGTTCATTCCCATAAATGAGTTGGTATTATTGCTTACACTTCTCCCTGATTTTTTTTTTTTTTAATATATTTTTTCTTCCACTATTGAAATATTTACATTTACAGCCTCCAGCCCCTTGAAAGCACCCAGAAGGGAAAGAAAGATTAGTCTGGAGGTTTGCTGCCTCTCCATCCCAATTCTTTACGCGCCTGCAAGGGAGAAAACAAGGATAAATATTTAAGTGCACATACACACACACAACATAAATGCCCAAACTCTATCTCACTTACTTACTGAGCTTGATCTGGCCCCAAGAGATGCCCCAGAAGGTGCTGTAGGGAAGCCTTGAGCTCTGCTGTGCTGCATTTAGGCAAAATACTTGTTTCTCACCTAACCCAGAGCCTCCATTTCATTTGGCCTCTTGCAGCAGAAGCAATGCCAGGACTGGACTCTGGGACTGCTCCTGTAGGGATGTGCTGGGAGCAGACAGCGCTGTCTTTGCTGGCACGGGGTGGGGGAACAATTTTATACAAAACATGACCCAAGTCTGTAAAATTGAGCATTTCTCTTTGAATCCCTTACTTTTCCAAACTCTCCCAAGTTTGAGAACACGGGCTCAGACCTTCAGGAGGTAAATTCGGTCTGATCCCACGGATATCTCTGGACCCACAAGGGTGTGACCAGCTGAGGGAATGGCCCTGTTTCTCCAAGTTTGCCCCCACAGGCCGTTCCCCAAAGCACCTGCACCTTGGTTTTTCCAGCAGATCTCACCTCACTGCACTTGGTCCATGTCACTGTTGCATTGCCAGACCTTGCTGCTTCAAGGAACCAAGTGTTGATGAGTTTTGATGTCACTGGACTCTCCCAAGTCCACGGGGGAAGGACGGTCCCTGTCAGCCTGAGCTGGACTGCAGTTGGGTTGCATTACTATTGTTTACAGCGTGTATATAAGTGTACATTTTCTTTAGCAGACGTTGGAATTTTTTTATGTATAGATTTTTATTTTTCATCCCCAGATGTATTTATTAGCCAGAGTATTTCTGTTTTGTGTTCCGAGTTCTGTCAGATCAGTGTAAGCTCTATGGAACAGAATGCACATATTTTTGTTTGTTTGTACCAAATACATGCACAAAACTGTCTAAAATGTTGCTGTGAAGCGTTGCTGTGTCTGATTTTTAAAACAAGGTCAGTAGGGGATGAGGAAGGGAGGGAGGGAGGGAGGGAGAAACACCTGAAAATTATCCACTCATGGCTATTTCTCAAAGACTTTTTTTGCATTTTCACAAGGATAGTCTTTCCCACACAAATGAATTTGTGATAAAAGCAAGTCAGGAGAGGACAATCTCAGGGATGAAATGGTTGCACCTGCCACATCTAGAGAGATGATTAGATATTAGGAAGAAATTCTTCCCTGTGAGGGTGATGGGGGCCCTGGCACAGGTTGCCCAGAGAAGATGTGGATTTCCCTTCCCTGGAAGTGTTCAAGGCCAGGTTGGATGGGGCTTGGAGTAACCTGGGATAGTGGAAGGTGTCCCAGGGAGGTTGGAACAAGATGGTCTTTAAGGTCCCTTCCCACCCAAACCATTCTTACATGTATGTGTAGATATATCTATATATATGTATATATATATGTGTGTGTGTGTATATATATACATAGAGAGAGAGAGAGAGATGAGACACATCTCTATAAATATATATGTGATACATATCTGAGACAGGAAAGGGAAAGGCAAAAGGAAAAACCAAAAGGAGAAACACACTGGATCAACATTTGATGGCAGTCAGAGCTGAAAAATACGTCAGGGAATTTGGGGACACGGAATGGAAGGGATCGAGAATGACCTTGAAAAATACCTTTGCATCTCTGAATACATCAGTGATGTACATGTAATTTGACCACTGTTTGCTTTTGATCAGCCCAGCTCTAAAAGGATTGAATGGACCCGGAATGGATCAAAGATACGGGATAGTTTCCGTCTAAAGGACAATTAAATCAAAGGGCACTTTCCTGGGAAACAGAGATGACTGAGGAAGAACACAGTGGGGCTCTATAAAACCAGGAGTGTTGGGGACAGGATGAATAGGGGATGACTGTTCCCTGTTTCCCATAAAACGACATGAAACCCAATTATCAAAATGAACAGAACAAGGTACATTTTTGAGCAGTGGAGCTCATCACCACGAGATGTTGCTTCTGCCAGGAGTCTGCAGGGGTTAGAACAGCAATTGGGGGCCTTGGTGACAGGTAAGTCCATCAAGGGCTGTTGGAAACATTTATATAATCTCTGAGCTGAGAAAGCCCTGAGGCAGCAATTGCTGTCAGCTGGGAGAGTATTTCAGGGGATATTTCACTGTTGGCTTTCTCTTTCCTTCTGTTCCTCCCAGTTTCCATCATCAGAGAGGGGATTCAGCTGGAAGGACCCAGGCTCTGTGTGTCCCCTCCATCTGAACTGGGCCCATCCATGCCCCAGTTACATCATTCATTTTCCTGCTCATAGGCTGAAATGAGAAAATAAACAAAATTCAAGATCGGTCTCCAGTGCACATTAAACCATCAAGGTCATATGATTTTGCCCTCACCATGTGCCAGTTCCTGCTGGGGAGTTTCTGTTACCATTCAGAATTTGGAAACCATCCCCTCAATAAACTGACTTTTACAATCTTTCCACAGGAACAGAGATTGTAGCTGGGGCTGGGATTTGCCCAGAGTTTTCCCAAGAAACTTCATCCATCCTGTGCAAAGGCTTCCACCTCTTTTTTTTTTTCCCCTCCCACTTTCAGACATCTGAATGTCCCTCTGTGGAGACACACATCATGGAGAGTGACATAAAGGTCCCTGATAATTAGGTTTGCCTTTTCTCAGTCCCGTCTGTGGGATTCAGCTCACGGGTTAAAACATCTCCATTCCAATAAGGTCTGTGTGTGAGTCATGTTTAAATCTCACTAGAGGAAAAAAAAGAAAAAATAATTTTTGCCTGAATATAGGTGTTTCATTGCATTTGAGCCATCTCAGGCTATCCAAGACATCTGCACATGGAAATAGGATGGAAAACCCTGTTGTGCAAAACTGAGGATCACAGCAGAAGGACCTGACTTGGGAGCTGGGAGCAGAAGTAAATGCTGGGCAAAGAACAGACAGAATATGAAGGTCTGCTCCTTTCTTTTCCCTTGGGAAAAGAGGACACGGGGTATTTGCTGAGGTTGAACTCATCATCAAAAGTCAGATCAACGCTTGACTTGCAGGGTGGACCAAACCACCCAGTCCCTGTGGCATCCTGGAGAGGTCCTTGCAGTCCTGCCAAGGAGGTGGAAAAGGACAAATCAGAGATAGAAAATGACACTTGAAGTCCCACGAGACCAGGAAAAGGAAAGGTTTATAGCAAAATGTTCAGTTCCCTTCAGTTCAGCAAACCAAACTTACCCAGCATTTCTGCGTGCAGTGCTGGTGGATAACGGGTGCCTTGGGGTTTGAGGGGAGGGTGTGGGCATCAAAAACAGGCTTTATGCATTTTTATATTTATGCCCATAATAACCCAGCTGACCATGGCTAAAAGTCTCACTGAAACCTCAGAGAGGGCATTTGGATTCTCACCAAAAAAAAAAAAATCCAGGCCCAATCCAGCTCCTGTGCTGAGTATTTACTTTTCTTTCCTTCCCAGCTGCTTCTTTCTGGATGGAAAAAAAAAATAAATAAGTAATTCCCTAAGGGCTGTAGATGATTCATAAATCTCACTGAAATGTGACCATAATTAAGTAGCAGCACCATTGCTCTGAGACACAGCCTGTCCAAATCCCTCTGCTCTCTCCTGACTGATCTGTGGCTGCCTTAAAGCCTCACAGAATAACTCATGGATCAGATACTTGAGTTCAGTCGTGGCAGGAGGGTGTTTTTTTGGGAAGAGAAGGTCCCAAATCTCTGTCCCCTCCGTGGCCAGGAGGTTCCAGGTGGCATCATTAGGAGAGCAACACCACTGTCTTTCTCCTTGTCAGTGGGGACTTTCCATTGCCAGAGTTTGCAGAAGGTGTTTGAAATGCAGAAAACTGACAGGAACATGAGAAAAGAAGACCCCAAAAGCCCCAAACTCAGCATTAACCAACTAGAACCAAATTTGCATTGAGTTATCCCAAAAACCCTTGGCGCTTTCTTGGAAAAAGGGAATGCCCTTGGGTAACTCTGTTTTTCCTCACAGCAGGGTAGTAGTTTTATGGGTTTAAAAAGGTTTGCCACCTCGACAGCACAGTTGTTAATCTGTGAGTAAATTGCCATTGTTTATCACCCCAGTGCTCAGCAGATGATTCACAGTGCAAATCCAATTTAACTCTGATTGCTGTGGCACTTCCATTTCTAACCTGTTTCAGGCTTGCAAGCTTAAATGATGCTTCTCAAAGCTTCAGGGTATGTGGGAGGGGGAATGACAGAGCATAAATATATTTGTGTATACCTACATATATATGAATATGTGTTAATAGATGTATCTACACAGATACAGGCATAAATATAGATAGAATTTATCCTTCTATCACTTTTTGGTGCTCTCTTTGCTCTTCTGTCTGTGGTCACCATCATACCCAGACTGTGTCTCACGTCCTCCTCAGACTGCCCAAAAGTCCACGTGTCGAGTGCAGCTGCTGCATCATCACGTGGGTGACGCAGAGATCAATATTTTCTAACATTCCGTGACTGGAATCAGCTGCCCAGGAAGGATGTGGATTCTCCCTCACCGGGAGTCCAGGTAAATATTTACCTTGGGTAGCATTTTCGACAGGATGGGTCCTGCTGCATATGACCAGTTTGATCTGATTGTCTAAATGGCATTTAAGTGTTCAGCTTCTCTGGCCCCACCCCTGTCTGCGCACTTGACTAAAGATCTGATTTAAATCTTTATCAGAGCTACTAATTAGGAAGAAATCCTTCCCTGTGAGGGTGGGCAGGCCCTGGCACAGGTTTCCCAGAGAAGCTGTGGCTGTCCCTGGATCCCTGGAAGTGTCCAAGGCCAGGCTGGATGGGGCTTGGAGCAACCTGGGCTGGTGGAAAGTGTCCCTTCCCGTGGAACAGGATTGTCTTTAAGGTCCCTTCCAACCCAAACCATTCCATGCTCTTATTATTCTTCTCCCCAACCTACCCCTGAGGAATTAAAAACTGTTTTTTTCAATTTTTTGTGACTTGCCCATCTACTCCTGGTTGCACTGTGGGTTTTTATCCCACCTCCAGCTTTTCAAACTGAGCAAAGACGAATGGCTGTGCCAACAAGCTGCCTGTAAAATGTAATTAAACACACCCCTGCTGATTAATTTAATATAGACATGATTTTGTGCAGTCTCCACTTTCTCCTGTCAGCCCCTAAATGATCGTCTTTCCCCTGGCATGGTGCTGTTCCTGAGGGTCACACAGGCTTTAGCTGAGCCCCTGTCTCTGCACTGACCTCTTGGGATCTGGGAAGCAGGACTCTGTCATTCCACAGGCAAAGGATCAGTAAATCCACTGGCAGGAAGATGAGGTCAGGGAAATCAAAATTAAATCCAAGTGGCCACAGGGAGTAATTAACAAATGGAACAATTTTTTCTTAAATACTTGAGGAGTTCTTGAAATGCAAAACTTGGGAGAAAGGAGGGAATTGTTTTGCAATACAGGAGAGAAAAGGAACGGGCTTGATGCGAAAGTTTGCTCTCCTGCCCTGCTTATGCAGGAGGTCAGGCTCAATTACCAAAATATGCTGGCTGCCCCTAAAAATAAACTGTTTTCTCTCTGGTTTGGCAAGTCCTGCTGAGCTTAAAGTATTGGCCCAAGATTGTACCTGCTCTGCTGAAAGGAAAAAAATACCCTGTGCTGAGGCATCTGCTGCTGACCTAAAGGAACACGCATGGAAAGGTAAAGTCTCCTCTCCTCTCCTGTAATTTATTTATTTCTAACTTCATTTTTAGCACCCATTTTCTTTGAATTACATTTTTCTACCGAGGGCCCCTTCAGCTATTTTTGCTGCTGGAAATTGACCGGACAAGTTATTTATTTTTATTTTTATTTTTATTTTTATTTTTATTTTTATTTTTATTTTTATTTTTATTTTTATTTTTATTTTTATTTTACCACCCTTTTCATTTAGGTATTTATGTTGGAGGGATTTATTAGCAGAGGAAAGAACCTGACTCTCTCTCTCTCCATCCCCTCTGCAAGCCAAGGAATTGGATTTTGACACTCAGGGCCTGCAAAGAAGTTGTCACCAATGGGCCTCAAATCACTGGATTTTTCTAATTCCTTTTTCAGCCCCCCTCTGCTTTCAGCCTCCAAGTTACCCCGTGGCAATAACTTCTGCCCATCTGTTCTGCATAAATGGGTGTAATTTATTCACAAATTATAGACCACCGTGTCCATCCTCACCATCCCTTTTCTGAGGGAGGATTCCTATCACAGAATCATGGAATGGTTTGGGTTGGAAGGGACCTTAAAGCCCATCTCCTTCCACCCCCTGGCATGGGCAGGGACACCTTTAACTAGCCCAGGTTTCTCCAAGCCCCATCCCACCTGACCTTGAACACTTTTCAGGGTTGTGGATCCCAACCTTGACCTTTTCTAGGTTTATTACATCCTTTTTAAGGGCTTGTGGCCAAAGTTAACCTGACTATTCTGGTTGCAGTTTCACCTGGAATAACATCACATGCCATAACATCATCATGCACACAGAATAATGATATTTATCTTTATCCTCAATTCTTTCCCCAGCAATTCCTGCCGTATTTTTGCCTTTCTGACCGCAGAGCTGAGGTTCCCGTTTCAGCTATTCCCAATGATCCAGCAGCCCTTCCCTGAACGCTAATTCCCTGCTTCCTGAGCGCATGGCCACCTCTGCATAGCTTTTCCCTCATCTGCATGATTTTGCATTCATCAGCATTAAATTCACCACCTGCTAATCTGATACCAAGACATCTCTTGCACGAATATTCACATTTAGCATTCGCTTTGACTGCCCTGAATAATGAGGAATTGTCACCAAACTCTCACCAACCTATTTACACCTTTTCCCAGATCTTTTTGGGACCTAATAAACTTTTTCCAGTGTCAGAAATGACTGCTTCATCATTTTGATTGGGTCTTTTTTTTTTTTTGCTTCTTCTCTTGTTTATTCCTTCTGTTATTAAGCCAGAGGACCTTTTACCTTATCCCATGACAGCTTAAAGAGACTGGAACTTTTTCAGGATAAACTGCTGAATGTAGAAACAAGACTGTAATCACCATGAAACCTTTATAAAAGCAGACAGTGTTGACCATATGGGAAAGAAAAGGGGAAGAGGGATGGATGATACCACTGGAGAGGAATTTCTCACATGCCAACTGCACTAGATCCAACACTTTTTTTCCATGGGGGTAGTGGGCAGTCAAACAGCAGAGTCCATGTGACAGGTAACTGCAAAGTAAAAGGGCCATGTGTTTAAAATAAACAAGAAAATGGTGCTTCTGCCAATGTATTCCTAAAAATACTGTTAGCAACACAGAAAGAAAGAGCTCATGGGCAGTGAACAGACACAGCTCAGGCTTTACATGAATTAGTTTATTCATTTTAGTAATTTAAGTAAATAGGAAAAAAAATAATCCAGAATTGCATTAAAATATTCCAAAAAAAACCGTTCCAAATCCTAGGTGTCTTCAAGAGGTAATACCTAATGGAGGCATAAGGGACCAAAATAACTGAAGAAGGATTTGGAAATGTCTTCAAATGAAATTGGAATCTCTCAGCAGAGTGCAGAACAAAAGGAGGAAAAGGCTTCCAGCTCTGCAGCTCAGTATGAGGGAGGTTGAAAGAGGAGCTGGATGAACCTCTTGCTTTGAGAGTCTCAGATCAAACAGAGCAGAGAGAATATAATCATGAGTTGAAAAGGGGGAAAAAATAAAAGAGGAAAAAGGAAAAGAAAGGAACTTTATCATTTGCATAAGCCGTAAAAAATTAATTAATCAAGGAAAAGAAAAGTTAAAGCAGTGTTATGCTTCCCCCTCCAGGGGAGACATCTGGGCATCTCCAGGAGATGTCCCTGGGATCCACAGGTTTGGGAAGGGTTGTCAGTTTGCTGGAAGGCCAGGCTGCCCTGCAAGGGTGGGCAAGTGAGTCCAGAGGCCACAGAAGTGCTCAGGAGTTTGGAGGCTGCACACAAGGAGATGCCAAGGCAGCTGGGCTCACCCATTCCAGAGAAAACAAGGTCTGAGGTGGGCATCTGGTTGCACTGCTCCAGTGGGACTGCAGAGGAGACAGAGCCAGGCTCCCCTCGAGGCAATGGGCTCAACATCCAACAAGAGAAATTCCCACTTTTCCGTATTTCCTGACCAGGGGGTCCGGAAGGTTGTGCAGCCTTCACCTTGGGGAAACCCAAAACTGGATGGAACAAGACCCATAACAACCTTGATGTTGGCCCCATGTTCCAGCAAAGGACTGAATTAGAGACTTCCAACCTCCTTTATTCCTCAAAACTAAGATCCTTTGGAAAACAGATCACATCTGTGCAAGAGTTCCAGCTCTGC